CACTGTATATTATATGCTATCATTTTTGTAGAAAATTATTGAATAGGCATTAAAAATCTCTGCAAAGACTCATAAGAAATGAACATCGTGAATTTTTTCTGAGGAGTGGAAAAACGTAGCTAGGACAGTGGTGGAAGAGAGACTTTTTAATTCTTTACCCTTTTATACTTTCAGAATTTTGAACAGTGACTAACCACTCAATAAAAAGCAAATTTAAAGATGAAAAAAAATTATCGTAAGAGATGAGATGACAAAGACTGAAAACGGAACAAACCATACTACTTGTCACACACAAAAGAAATGGAGTTTTGTGTATTTTATTTAACAAATTCAGGCCATGGCATATTTGTAACTTAAGTTCACTCTATATACTATATGCATGTATCCCAGAGGAAAAAAGGAAGTAAATGCTTGATAGAAAATGTTTTCCTGTGGCTTCCTTATAAAATGCTCAATTATCTTCTCCTTTTCATGTTAGGATTGTATCTGGAAAGAAAGAAATGGGGTTAAATGATATCTAGATAAATGATAGCATTTCTTTCACTTTTCAAAATACACAGTCACACTTTAGCAAACAGAATGAGAATCCCAAGTTTACCCTTAGAATCAGATATTAAGCACTGACATTTTTACTTTCACTTATCCTTTTGATGTTGCTTTGATGACTAGTAAAATATCAACAAAAAGAATCCTGTAAAAGCATTAAAATAATAAACAAAAACAATAGTCTAAAAATATGTGTCTATACTTCTTCCGGTGCGATTTCAAACAGTCGTTCCCCTCCCCACCCTAACCCACCCCCACAGTCCCAATTAACGCATACCATTTGCACAAAAAAGCGCAACGAACCTAAAATATAATTACTTTACAGAATTTTCTCCCATAGCAATTCAACAAATGTAGCTGGGCAACCAGATGTTCTCATTTGACTACTTATGAAAAATCATTGCTTCTCGGCCTTTTGGCTAAAATCAAGTGAAAAATCAGCACTGTCAACATTTTGACCGATTCGTACTGTCAGTGATAAAATTAAATAACCAAATTTGCTGCAAAACAGACTAAAAAATATAGTACCTTCTTTATTTTGCCTTTAAGTTTGGGAAAATGTTATTGTCCCCTATCAATCCATAATAGAATATTTTACAATATTTGAGAACTAATTATTATAAGGTTTGTTGGGCCTGTAAGAATGCTGAAAATAAGTTAAATCAGAATTGAATTATAATTACTCATTTTAACTTCACTAAACCTCCCACAAGAACCTGCTTTGAAACTCTAATCCAGCCTTTTGTTTTTATGCATGTGCCAATTAAAACTAAACAAATGGTCTGGTATCTTGTCTTAATTCGAAACCATTCAGTCATAATTGTACTAACAGCTGAAAATCTCACGAATTTATCAGCCAAATTCACCCGGCTCAAGAAGCTTCTTTGCCTGAATGCCCCGGGCAGATTTTCCATATCCTGTGGTGCGGTCCACTGAGTCCGCCCCACCCGTGATGCCATCTATGTCCGGTGAGCCCAAGGAAGAAGTGCTCAAGTAGTAAAAAGAAATACACAGGTGAAAAACAAAACACCCTTTAGGTGAAGGGACCAAGTGTCAGTTTCTAAGGACGGAAGAAAAATATTTCATCTCTACGAATAAAACTGAATTTTATATACATCGCTCGCTTTAAGATTCATGAGAAAGCTGAAATCAGACTTTACCTAAAGAGGTCATCAGCGAGAGACTCTTCTTTTGCTTGTTGATTTTGCACCTGTAAAATCAACAGAATTTCAAACATTCGCTCCGCGATGCACACACGGTTAGTGGCCTGCTGCTCTGGCTGGTCAGTCGCCTCTGCGATGTCCGCACCAGGCCGCCAGGTTCTGAGTTCTTGCCCAGCCAACGCCCCTCTCCATTGCCACGCACACCACGATTACTGCAAAGTCCTCTAGTCAAACAACTTCCCCCGGCCAATCTCCTCTCACAGGCGACCACTTGAGAGGTTGAGTTTTTAAACCTTTTGCCAGCAGAACCCTTTCGCTAACCGTACCCTCAGTGTTCTGAGGTCACACCACTGACGACGGAGCTGAGGGCGACACACGCCCCACCTGCGACCTGAGCGGCTCTCCAGGTGAAACAGAAGACGTGTGCGTCTACAAAGCAGCTGTCAGAGAAGCTGCTGACGCCCTTACCGTCCTGAATATTCTTAAAGCCTCCTGGTAGGGGGAGCTAATTTTAAAGTTATAAGACAGTCAGGAAACATCAGCTTTATTTTATATACTTTAGTACAAACGGTAAGTAAAGTAGTATCAAGAAATAGAAAGCTTCAAATTACTGGGATTTTTTCTAGAGTTTGGGAGAACTATATCTCACGATCTTTCAAAATTCAAATCAGGTTGGACAGAATTCGAAGAATTATTATGTTTAATGCACAGAATGAAAAAAATATCAAATTCAAGAAAAATTTGGGAAAAATTCAGTGATGATGAAAACTAGGACCGGTCTGCAGCAGAAGGAGAGAGAATGGTGAAGGAACTGAAGACGGGAACCGCGGAGAGCGGCCGGAGCAAGCCGGAGGCTGGAGCAAGCCAGGGGCCGAGGGCCGGGGG